TAGGAAAAGGGCTGTTAGAAAGAGACTGTGGGAAATTAAAACCTGAACTCTAATCTGGGCTCTGCTCTAAGCTTCTTGTACCACAAGTCCCAGTATTTCCCTTCTCCATTCATAAAATAAAGAGATGGGATCCAAGAAGTCTAAGATATATCTCTTCTACCTGGAATCCATGACCTTGAAATTTATCAACCTTGTTCTTGGAGCCTGGAATGGAATTGCTTCTTTCTTCCTTCCTTAGCGTTTTGTAAGTGTCTTTGAGGTGCCAGGCCCTTTGAACCAAACAACTAAGACTCATGACTGACCTTGAAGAATTCAGTCAAGCAGGAAGGATATATATGATTAATCGCCATGATGCAATGGGAAGAGTCCTCCACCCTCGACCTAGACAACCTAGACCTGCTCTTCTAGGACAGACGTCTCACCAGACCAGATCTCAGGACAGAAGCAACAGGAGACTGAATTCCTCTAAGAGCTGCCATTCACCCAGCAGCATAATTCTTCCCAGGAAGGCAGTCACTTGACTTCTCTCCCTCCAGCATCATTAAGCCAGTTCATCCTTGTTGACACAAGGTAGAGGGAATGAAAGGCTAACAAACAGCCTCATAAATCATCAGGCATCTCTACTCTGAAAATTGTAGGACTACAGAAGAACAGGATAAACAAAGGCAAACTGCAACTGACAGTTCCTTCTGTCTCAAAGCTGAAAGTCTAGTAATAAGCCCTAAAAACCAAAGGCCTGTGAAAAGAGCATTGGCCTGGGAATTTGGACGGTTGAGTATTGGTCCTTTCTGTGTGACTTTGGACAGCCATCACCTCTTTGTGTCTCGGTTGCTCCATCTCTGAGCGCGAGGCAGCGTCAGAGCTGCTTTGGGATAGAAAGATTGGTGCTGGGTGTCACCCGTGGGCTTGGTTTAGGTTTTCTTTGCTTTCAAGTGACTTAAGGTCTGAACAACATTTGTAGATGAAAGTAAAAAGGTGCCCAAAAGACCACACCGACGAAAAAGTCAGAGGAGAGACCAGATTTATTGTTAGCAGAGATAACAAGTTCAAGCTCTCCCGAGGAAAGGAGAGAAATGGCTCCGACCTGCTCCTCAGAGAACTATTTCATATTGTCCGGGCTGGAAGAGGGCAGTGCCTCACCTTCTGCGCAGGTGCTGCCATCGAGGGCGGAGATTAGGTCAGGGGAGGGGGGACGGGGGCTTTCCTTACGGTAGAAAGAAGGAAAAATGAAGCCAGAACAAGATGCGGAGCTGAGCAATGGGAGAAGCCAGGGGAATGATGTGTCAGCAGGTAGAAATGGATGAAAGAGAGATGAATAGAAGGCCTACTGTCCATGGGAGTTAGAAATGAAGACCTTTGGCTGGGAAGGCGGCTTAGTGGGAGAGTGCTTGCCTAACATGCATGAAGCCCCAGGTCCAATTACTCTGTGCCACATCAACAAAAAAGGCCTGAAGTGGTGCTGTGACTCAAGTAGTAGAGTGCTAGTCTTTAGCCAAATAAGCCCAGGGGCAGTGCCCAGGTCCTGAGTTCAAGCTCTATGACAAGGAAGAAAGATAGAAAGGAAGGAAGAAAAGAAAGAGAGAGAGAAAGGAAGAAAGAAAGGAAGGAAGGAAGGAAGGAAGGAAAGAAGGGAAAGAGAGAAGGGAGGGAAGGAGGGAAGAAGGGAAGGAGGAAGGAAGGAAGGAAGACCTTTTTCTGGTGCCACTGAACACCCCTGGAAAGAGGAAAGAACAAGTGTCATGTTCCAGTATCACCTAGCCATTCAAATCACCAAAATAGTGATTCATCAAGGTTGTTCAAAGTGGAGTTCTTATGAGCTGGTCTTAGGGATTTGGTCCCAGGTATTCTCTGGCTTTTGAAAAAGTCTGAAGAAACAGAAAAGGCTTCTGGTACCAATAAAGTCAGATCCAGATGTGATCCTGTGCAAAAGGCTGGATACAAGAAAGTAGAACTCTTCCTGGCCCCAGTGCCCCCAGCCTGCCAAGCACCAGTCCACTCCTGGCCCCTGAAGTCCATGCATTTCCAGATTTGTTATGCAACATCTACCAATACTCTGTAGAGCTACTGATGCATGTCACATGGTGGAAAGATGTCTGCTGATTAAATTACTAAATCCTGTTAGAGAAGAGGGCAACTTTGTCCTAATAGAATTTTCATGTTTCTCATGATCCTTGATGCCTCTGGTGAGATTCTTAAATCTCCAGTGTGGTGCCAAGGGGATAGATTCTCACAACCAATCCTCCCTCCTTCACCAGCACAGCCTCAAATTGTGCTCTTAGTAGAATATCTAATTTGTTTGGAATCCACTGTGTGTGGGGCAGAGAGGGATGTTTTCTTTAAGGAGCAAGTGTGTATGGAGGGGGTGTTCTTTGAAACTATTGTAGTGAAGAGGATCTGTCATACTACTGTTTATTTTATACCATGCTCCTCCTCCCTCGTTCCCCCTCACTACACACAACAAACTTTAGGAAAAGGGGGTGTTTGTGCAGAAGTTGACAAAGCCCTGAATGCCTGCTCTAAGTACTCAGCAGTCACTCTGCAACAATTATTCCTTTGGCCGGAAGTTTCTCTGTGTTTCCTACAGTCAGTGCTGCATTGCTGGACCAAGAACATTACTTGGGCTGGGAAAGAATGTACATGTCTCACTGTATTTAAAGTACCATCAGGTTACATAAAGGAGAAACTGGAGCTTCTACCTTACAAAAAAGGAAGAGTTAATGTTTGGTGAAGAAAACCAGACTTCAGGTGTTTTCTGTTTATCTAACTACTTCACTTTGGTTTTGATATACTATTCTTGCTTTGCTCCCCAATGCCAGGAGCAAATTCGTTTTTAGGTTTTCGTTTGAAACCTCTCTTCTCACTCACTCTAGTGATACCATCCCTAGAAGACTGAGATGTAACAAGAGGTGAATCGTGTATCACCTTCGCCTCGCTTCTAGAATTACAGCAGTCATGAGCCCTGGGGTGCCGTGGGGATGAAAGCCAAAAAGCAGAGGAGAGTGATGGAAGGCCAGGAAGGAAATAAGCTACTTATTTTGCAGGCTTTTATTGTTCTCCTTCAGTCACCTTCCTCCCCCTTGCTATTTATGAATCAGATAAGAAGAGGGGAAAAAATCAAACTTTAAAGAGTTGCCTTACATTTATTGATGGAGCCGGCTGTAAGGTCACTGTCTGACCAATCACCATACCCCATCCATCACAGATGAAAAGCAGCCTTGGCATTCTCACTGGACACACAACTAGCTAAGAATAAGGACATCCACACCCAGTCCCAGCCCGGAGAATCAGCCATATTATCTTCCTTGTTGTATGTCTTCATCAGTTTTGATTAGCAGAGGAATTTGCCAATGTGTGGAAATCACTGGAAATCTTAAATCTAGTCAGACAGGATCCTGATGGCCCATGGAGTTCTCTGCTGATCAGACGAGGTTGTAGAAGTTCACATCACTGGGAGTGTGTAGGCAAAGTGTTTTTCCTGACCTCTACCTGAGCATTTAAAAATGTCAGTCAATGCTGTGTATCTAAGGAATTCAGGAAAAAGGAGAGGGGGACTCTTAACTAAACCAAGATATAATGGATTTAAAAGCCTGGTGCAGAGCTGGGAGCCAGCCCAGGCAAGTAATGTCTATGAGACTCTTACCTCCAATTAATCACCAAAAAGCCAAAAGTGGAGCTGTGGCTCAAGTAGTAGAGTGCTAGCCTTAAGCAAAACCAAAAACAACAAAAACTAAGTGACAGTACTGCATGCCCTGAGCTCAAGCCCCAATACACATACACACATATACACATGTACACACGTACACACGTACACACACACACACACACACACACACACACACACACAAAGCAAGCCTAGCCCATGTCCTTTAAATGGCATTGAATTAAAAGTATTTCTCACCCACCTCCTTTGCTTTTCTTTGCCTTGAAAAGAAGCCTTATTCCTGAACCTCTCCCATTAATTAGAAATAACATCTTTCATCCTCCCTTTCCAGAGAATTCCAGGCTTCTTATGCTTTCTGGGTCTAGCTGCTTAGAACATATTTCTGATGAAAACAAAGCAGAGTGGCCTAGGACAGCAGAGAAAGCCTAGAGGGAGAGCTACTTCTGAAAGACAGGAGAAGAGGCCCAAAAGGGCACAGAGGGAAATCCATTTGCAGAAGGCAGTTTTGGCAGTATCTTATTACAACTTCCAGCTGATCGGGTGTGGGGTGTAGCGCCACTCGGGACATCTGTTTGGAGTTTACAACAGAAACAAACATACTGAAAACATGAAAACCCACTCGAGTGGAGCTCTACCAGGTCTTCTCTGCCTAGCTCTCCATGCCAGTCCCACTGGGCCAGGGTGAATTGTAGAAGGGAAGGAAACGGCTCTGTAAGCTGCCAACCCCCACCCCACCTGCATGGTGACTCACTCACCCATGATTGGAGCTTACAACTTCTTTCTCTACTTGCTTTTCCTCCTAGGAAAAACAGAGCAGGCCCCACTCCTTGGAGACCCCCCCCCCGACTCATCTAGTTCATCTCTTAAGATTCCTTAGCTGTTGGCAAAGGAAAAAAGATTACTGTGTCCTTATAGTTGGTGGTGAGGAGAGCCCACTGAAGCTGGTAAACTATCAGCACATGGCAAAAGTAACTCCACAAACAGCAGATCAAGTCTGAGCGTAGGAAATCAAGCTTACCCCAGGCTCTCCAAGCATGAGCTCAGGAAGATCAGAAGTCCATATTCATACAACAAATGGATATAGAATATGCTGGAGAAGGCTGGCCTCTGTTACAGTACGAGGTCTGCCTCTAGCAAGGCCTCAGAGCATATATCAAGTAGAATTACCTTTGCTAATACTCTCCAAATGCCATTAGCACAATCCTAGGACTGGAGACACACAAGGCTACCACCTCCACCCAAGCACTTGGTCAGTAGTTCCAGATGCTCACTTGTTCTGTTAGTTTTTCCTCTTTATTCTCTCCCTGCTGGCAGGCAAACAGACCCAGAAGAGCACTACTCAAAAAATAACAAAATGTTTTATACACATTTCTGTATATACAACTGAACAACATTTTACATATTCTTTTGCACAGCAAAAGATATATAAACATTCAGGTCTGAGAACACAGTTATATACAAAAAAAAGATGTCAAAAAATACTTCACAACAGTGCAAAAATATTTTACACAGCATCATGGAGTGAGATCTTTGGGACAGGAGGAAGGTGTGTATTTCTAAAAGAAAACTCCTTCTTAGATATTAGATGTCTTAAACTGTAAACAAAATGCAATTCTTTCTTATCCCCCCCACCCCCCCAAAAATGGTTATTTATTGAGGAATTTGGCAGAATTTTAAGAGTCTGAGACTGAGGTAAACAGTCCAAGCTCTCTTGCACCAAAAACAAAAACAAAACCCCTGGGGGTCAGGGGTGGTTTTAAGCCTCAGACATTGTGATTTTTGCTGAGCAGTCAATGACAGGGCAGGCCTTCCAGTGAGGGGGTGGCAGAGGGAAGTTGACCCTTCCTCCTAGGGTCCCAGCTGCTTCACAAACAGGAAACTGGCCTCAGGCCCCTCAAGCTGGCTGGTGGACGTTTCCAACTTTTCACCTCACCCCCATCCCAGAGGGCTGCCCTCCCTCCATTATGGGATTTCCTTCCTCACTGCATCCCTGCGGGGCAACCCGAGCTGCCTCAGCCTTGGGACGAGGAGGAGGGGTAGTGATGGGGAAAGGGGCCATGAGGAACTCAAGACCTGCGTCCCAAGCGGAGACGTCCCAAGTGGAGACCTCACGTGCCCCACTTCCCCTTTCCTAGACTGGGGGTGGGGATGGGGCAAGCAGGGGGGACCTGACCACGGTTGGGGAACCACTGCGGGGTACCAGGAGTGTATGGAGGGTCCGATGGAAACTCAACCCAAGTGGGGCTCATCCAGGCTGGCACTATCAGTGGGGCCAGACCGGTCTCCGGCGGTGACAGTGGCCGGGGTGGCATCTGGGCCCCCGCCCTCGATGGAGCTCTCGCTGCCCGTGCTCTCTCCCGACAGCAGCCGTGTCACCCGCAAGTCCGCCTGCAGGGTGCGCACGTCGTTGCCAAAGCTGAGCTCGCCCAGGTCGCTAATAAGCTGCGACAGCTGGGCCTTCATGTTGGAGGCGCTGCCGGGCAGTGCTGAGGGCAGCATTCCGGCCCTCGGACCCAGTAGGTCCTCGCCATCGCCCAGCGCCTCCTCCTCACAGCCATTGTCCAGCGTGTCCAGCAAGTCCCCACATTCGGTGTGCGTGGCCACCACCAGCGGCCCCTGCTCCTCGGCCTCCTCCGCTGGGTCCCCCTCCCCCACTCGCTCCGGGTCCTCCTCCTCCTTCTCCTCGTCCAGGCAGCCCTCGGGGTGCTCCTCTTCCTCTTCCTCCCGCAGCTCCTGCTCTTCGCCGAGCAGGTCCTCGGTGATGGAGCCCAGCTTGGGCGCGCTGCGGCTGCGCTCCACCGGGGGCTTGTAGCAGCAGGGGCCGTGCAGGAGCAGCTTCCGCAGAGGCACGAGCGGGATGGTGTGCGCGCCCACCAGCTCCTGCTGCTGGTGCCTCGCGTCGTCCCGCCGCTTGAGGCGTTTAAATTCCGCCAGAGCGTTGGCCGACGTCTGGTAGAGCAGCAGGGCCATGGCCTGGGCCTTCTCGGGTTTGGACACCAGCACGGCGTGGCAGCGCAACATGACCGCCTTGTGCTTGAGCTCGTGCCGGTACACCCAGGCGAAGACCTTGGGCAGCCGCGCGTCTGCCACGCAGTAGGTGACGCGGTGCAGCAGGTAGAGGTGGCCCGGGCGGCGCAGCGCGCGCTCCTCGGCGTGCACCATGCGGATCCCTTGCGCACTCACCGTCAGCTTCATCTTGGTGCCTTGACGGCCCGCCTCGCTCTTGCTCCAGATCTTGCCCACGGCTAGGTCAGTGCAGCCGTCGCCGCGCGCCTGGATGGTGGTGGCGTTGCCCAGGTAGAGCACGGTGTACGTGGGGTCCTCGCTGGTGATGTGCAGCTTCTTGCGCTTGGAGCGGAACATGCTGCCCACCCGGCTGAGCGCGCCTTCGGGGCAAGCCCGCGCCAACGAGCTGAGCGCGGAGTAGTGCAGGCTCACGGCGTAGCCTTTGGGTTTGGACGCCTGCCGCGGCGGCGGCGGCGCCTCGGCCAGCAGCTCAAACTTGTGCTTCTTCCACGGCAGCATCTCCGGAGGGCGCCCCGGCGGAGCTGGGCGGCGGCGGCGGCCGGGCGCCGAGTGCGAGCCCCGCTGAGCCACCCACCCAAGGCTGGGCTGGGCCCGGGCAGGACCGAAAAATAAGACTCTTGCTGTGAGCTGCCCAGTAGTAGGGACAGTGAGCGGATGGGTGCAGAGGAGGGCGGGTGGTGTTGGGGAATCCCGCAGAGGGAGGAATATATATATATATGTATAATTTAAAAAATAAAAACACAGCTTTGAGTGTGCAAAGGCGAGTGACGGGGGAAAGCTGGCGCGCCCGCGCACACGCACGCACGACCACCCCAGTCTGGGCAAGGACCAGAGCAAAAGTCTCAGGCAAGCCGCTCAACAGAGGGAAGGAGAGCGGATCGGGAAAATGTCTTAGGAAAAAGCTAGATGGGCGCGGGCAAATAAATAGAAGGGTCGCGGCAGAAGCATCCAGAATGGGGCGAGAATATGCAGAACTCTTCGGCCGATCGTGAAAACGGGCTGGGGGGGGGGGTTGTCGCACACTCACAACCCCCAGGCCCGGAGGCCAGCAGCCGCGGGAACTCTTAGCAGTGAGTCCAAGAGCTCCCCACTCCCCCGCCAAGGGGTGCCCCAAACCGTGAGCCCCTCGGCTGGGCCGGGTCCCCGAGTCGGCAGCTTGCCCCCCACCCCCAGGTACAGTCCGGCGATGGGTCGGGCGGGCCCCCGCGCAGCGCCGCTGCGGCTCACCGCATCTTCCTCGGCTCCCGCCGCACGCCCGCACGCCCGCCGGGAACTCGCGCTCGCCGGCTCACCGTCCCGGCCCGCTCCGCCAGGGCTGTGCTGGGCTCCGAGGGCGGGGCGCGCGCATCGTCCACTCCGGGGACCGCCGCTACCTCATGTCTTCCCTTCGAGGGGGGTGTCCAAGTCCGCTCCCGGGCGCTCCTCGGTCGGCTGCCCGCCTTCGCCGTGCGCCCTCTCCGGCCCCGCGCGCGCTGTCCCGGCTCGTCCGCTTCACATCGTTGCCGTCCGAGAGGAAGCGCACGGTAAATATAGGCCGGCGCGAACCATTCGCCGCGCGGGGACAGGGGAGGCGCAGAGGAGGGGATCCGCTGCGAGCAGCGACGCCCGACGGATTTCTGGTCTCTTAAAGGGACATCGTTACAACCATGGGTCGAGGGAAGGAGGAGACCGATCCAACGGGGCAATCACACCCCAAATTTACCAACTCTTTTATCTACAGGACCCACGGAGACCTGGGGCTACCCAGTTGAACTCTGATACTACACCTCCGGGTTGAATTGCCACTCAGGAAATAAATGTATGCCTGGATCGAAACTTGTGGAGGAGTTGATGCCAGGTGAGACTGTGGACTCTAATTCCCCTCCTCCCCCCCCCCCCGCCCCATGCAAAAATGTCAGAGAAACCGTTTTACTTTTCCTACGGTGTGACAGCTCTCTGAGAATCATTGAATACTGTTTTATATTACTATTTTCAGACTTGTGATCTAGGAAAGAAAACAGAGATGGGGGTGAACTACTATCCTAGTAGTGAACTACTAGCCGGTTATCTACAGGTAAACAGCGGACAGTGAACTATCAAGATAACTGAATGAACAATATGGTAAGTCAACACATTAGATGATCCTGGCACCCACCAATACCCCCTCCTGCTGTCAGTCCTCAGAATGGAGCCGTTTTCTGAGATACACACTATTTCTAAATCAGGTTATATGTGGTTAGATCTGTTTACTTTGGCCGGTCTGTTGTACAATTTTATTATATCACTGCCTTATTTTGGATGAGAATTCCTAGTAAAAATGTAAATGGCATTTTTATTTAAGTGATAATTGCATTAATCTGTGTGTGTGCACACGTGCGCGTCTGTGCCAGTCCTGGAGCTTGAACTCAGGGCCTGGGCACTGTCCATGAGCATTTTTGCTCAAGGCTAGTACCATCCGAACCACAGTTCCACTTTGAGCTTTGTGGTTGTTAATTGAAGACAAGAGTCTCACAGACTTTCCTGCCAAGGCTGGCTTTGAACCATGACCCTCTGGTTGTTCTGGTCATCATCCCCCCACCCCTCGGCCCTTTTATTATTTTCTGTTTGTTTTTTGGGTTTTTGGTTTTTTTTGTTTTTGTCGGTGGTAGGGCTTGAACTCTGGGTCTGGATACTATCCCTGCACTCTTCAGCTTAAGGCTAGCGCTCTACCGCATGAGCCACAGCACCACTTCCAGTTTTCTAGTTGTTTGTTGAAGGTAAGAGTCTCATGGAGTTTCCTGCCTGGGCTGGCTTTGAACCATGATCCTCAGATCTTAGCCTCCTGAGTAGCTAGGATTATAGGTAAGAGTCACATTCCAGGACTCCTGGTGGAGGACAGTGCTCTTCTTCAAGGCCAAGTCTACTGGGCATATGATGTCTTCCATGCTAGATCCTCATCTCAGAAACAAGGGACTCCTGGAAATTCCCTGGTCCTCTACCTTTACTACTTTTTTTTTTTTTTTTGTCCTCGGGCTTGAACTCTGAGCGCTCTCCCTCCCTCAGCTCTTCAGCTCAATGCTAGTGTTCTACCACTTGAGCCACAGCACCACTTCCGGTTTTCTGGTGGTTTATTGGAGATAAGAGTTTCACGGACTTTCCTGCCTGGGCTGGCTTTGAACCATAATCCTCAGATCTCAGCCTCCTGAGTAGCTAGAATTACAGGCATGAGCCACTGATGCCTGCTCCTTTGCTACTTTTTAACCTGCCTGGGAACTATAATATACTATTGGTGCTAAGCCTCAATTTAAATAAGTTTTCTGTGTAGCTTTGGTGCCAGGTCCTGAACTAGAAATAGACACAATTTGTCTCTAAGAAGTACTCAGTCCAATAAAGTCTATAAACTCCACCCAACTCTGAGCTTCCCCTGGAATGTAGGCTTTATGAGAGTTCCTGGGGCCTGGAACAAATTGGCACTTTATACATGTTTGTTGGTTTAATGAGTGAGACATGCATATGAACAAGAAGGTTAAATGCTATGTGAAAGACCCAGCTTACAATGAGAAGCCTGGAAAATAAAAAGCTCATTGGGATTATGAAAATCAGAAATGACTTCTTGGAGGTGGTAGCATTTGAAAAATGATAGGATTTCTCCAAACAGGAAAGGGAATTGAAAGGCTGCATGTGAATAGAGGACAACAGAATTACATGCATGGTGGACTAGGGTTAACTATTTAAAAAAAAAAAAAAGGAGAAAGCTTTCCTATCAGAGAAGAAAGTCTCTCAATAATGGTTTTTGTAGGAAGGGTATCTTTTTCACAGCTGGCCCTACAATGTCCTCCAACTCCCTGGCTTCACCCATGGGTTAGAGGAGGGGCACCACACACAGTATGGGATGTGTTAGGGCTACAATGATCCCTGAAGCCAACGTTTACAGAATATTGTGCAGTGTCCATGAAGGCAGTATGTGTTCAAAGAAAAAAAAACATTCTTGAGGAAACACACCAAATTAATCTGTGCTAAACAACAGTGACCAGTTTTAGCTAGTCCATAATCTCAAAGTCTACTCCCTGCAAAAGTTGACATCATAGCTTATTTAAGCAGTTGACAGTTCCAAGTGGCTCAGAAGTCCAAGGGCCAGAGAGAGGGTCTAACGAGGAAGAGGAAGAAGTAATAATGGGGGCTAAGGCTGGTCTTAGTCTGTGCAGGGAACAACATCGAGGATTTGATAGGATAGGGAAGCCAGAGCACCACAGTAGCAGGGAGCTATGTCCCACTAACCAACTAGTTGTTTTGTTTTGTTTTTTTAACAGTGGTTAGGCCAGTCTCAGATGGACAGGTCCACAGAGCTGCTCCTGTTGACCTGTGTATGTCATGTCTTGTGTATCACACAACTTGATAGTCTTTTTAATAAGCTTGTTTCAACCTTGGGAGAACAGAAAGATCCTAGGCAAATGTGAACACTCTGGTATTGTGAGTCATGTAATCCAAGACCCAGGAAGGGGACCAACCAGGCTATCTCCTCTGGTTCTGGATCTGAGCCAGCCTCTGGGGCCTGCCTCACCTTGTGGTAAAGCTGGTCACTCCTCTTGAAAGCAACTGAGGCTGAGCTTTGTCTGTTGGGAACTCTGAGGTCCTTGTTTATGAGCAGACCCAGCCAGAACAGAAGTCAGCAAAGCCAGCTAGGAAACCAGCCAGACACTGACTGTACTTTTTGTGACACTGCCCCATCTACTGGTAGCAGGCAGAAGTGCCACTCATAAAACCTGACAAGCCAGTAGTTGGATCAACAACACACAGCCAAGTCAGAGCTAGAAGAAATACTGCCACCAGGAGTCCCAGCCCTTTGTTTGGCCTCTGAGAGCCAGCCTTTTATCTCACTGGAGACTTCTGGAGTGGCTTTCCACCGCCTAATCTTGCATAATGTTTCTCCCTCTCCACCTTCCTCCCCCAACATCTCACTGAATGAACACTGACTTCAGAGATGACAAATCTGGAATCTTCAAAAGTCATTCAGCAAATATTTGTTCAGAGTCTGCTTGGATTGTGACGTTGTCGCTGGGGCAAACAGGTATTTTACCTTGCTGGGATTTACAGCTGGTGAGGAGGCAGATAATCAACACCCAGACTAATAATACATCAGATAGTGGTAAGTCTCCTGTGCAAAGGAGGCTATTTAGGAGAGAAAGTGACTGACTCAAAAGAACAGCCAGAAAAGTGAGCCAAAGACTTGCACACACAGATAATACAGAGGGCTCTGGCACGTCTGGTTAGTATGAGACACACAGACATCCGTGAGCACTAAAATGTGGTTTGCTCAAATTGAGGCAGGCTACAGGCATGATTTCAAAAGCTTAGTAAGACAAAAAGATTGTGAAAGGTTTCCATTTTCTATTAGTTCAATGACATCTAGGTTATAGTAAGTTAAATAGAATACATTGTTATTTTTCCCTATTTCTTTTTTTGTTCCCTTAACGTGAGGAACTAGAACATTTTAGATCCCATGCATGGACAATGTTGTCCTGGTCCAAGGCATAGCTGAGGTGAAGGCCTTGGGGGGGGGGGGAGGCATGAGCTCAGTGTGGTATAGGATTCTCAAGCTCCCACATCCTGTGTCCTATCCTGACTCCTGCAGGATCTCCAGGGTTTACATGAGCATTATCAGGAGATCACGGGGTCATTGGGGCACTACCTTCAGATGGGGCTAACAGTTCTTGTGAGGCCCCTGTTAGTTCCCACGAGAGAGGGTTGTCATAAAAGAACACATTTGACTCCTGGGTCTTCTGACTCCTGTGCTTCCTAGCACACCACCTGATTTCTCCCACATGTGTGATGTCCTACCATAGTGCCATCTGCCACGATGGGGCACAGTCTTACATGTGATTCTTCATCAGTGCCACCAAGGCAGGGACAGTTTAGGACTGGATTAGCTTGTCCCCTTTGAAGATGGAAGGAAGAGAAATCTTACCCCTGAATCCTTATCGTTAAAGCAGAAACCTTGTATTTTTTTTTAAAAAAGAAACTTGTTATTTTTGACATTTCCATTTCTAATAATAGTAACCAGTGGTGACTAAATTTGCTAGGTGGTAGTTCCCCATACTGTTCTATCCTTTCATGACAAAGAAGTTATGATATGGTCTTTTCGTCGCCTGATGTGGCAAAGTAACTCTTTGCTGTTGCCAGCCAGGTGGCCTTTCTGGGGCTGTTAGTGGTCTCCTGCTGTGTTTGATATCAGGGAGAAGCACAAAGTACCATTAAAAAGAAGGGAATGTTCCAGGGTCAGGAGTCTGCCAAGCACCATAGTGGCATTAGCCAATACCCACTGCAAGGCACAGCACAAACCTAACTCAGAACATTCTGGTCCAGGATAGCTAGGCTTTGCTTGACCACGTTCTGTGGCAGAAAGCTGAGTATCTTCCAAAGGTGCCTATTACATCTTTAAACCACTCTGACTCTAAGAACACTGAGTGGTTTCTATCAGGTATTCTGGTTCTGCTTGTCTTGTGTATTCTTACAACAATCTGCTCTTCATAAATGTGAATGGTACCTGCATACCCCTGGTATTCTATCCCTCAGGCCAGTCATGCTGAAATGCTAGTGCTTATTAATGTATTTGGAGTGACTTAAAGAGCAGGGTCACAGGTAGAGATAAAAGTAAAATGCTGGTTGTCAAAAATCACCTCTGGTAGAGTTTGGTTTGCCTGATAGTGTAGTCCATGGCTCCATGACTGATTTTCCCTATTAAACTTTGGCTGATGACCACTAAAATGTGTAGGGAGTCTGTTCAATGCTGAATTTTCAGAGCCTAGGAATGTATGTATGGATGGATGATTTAACCTTAGTACTTTCTATCTGCAGATTTTGAGTTGGTCATCATTACGTCTACTTCTAGATTCTTTTACTTTTACTTTGCTTCACTTATTGGGTCTCAATTGCTACAACTTTAAAGTGCAGAAAAATAACATTTCTATTTCTAATAATAGTAACCAGTGGTGACTAGAAGGTGGTTCCCCATACTGTTCATACCTTTTCTCATTTGACTGTTGTGAATGGAAAACTGAAAAGACATCTGTAATGAAAGATCCTAGTTTTTTCCACAAGTAAGTGGGAGAAAAATCTTTGAGTATACATACAGTGCATCTAGGGCTCTATAACCTATAAGGAAAGCCTTTGGCACTTTTCTTTCCATGCACATCTTACCAAGTGGGCAATTGATGTTTGACTGCAATGACTTAATCATTTAAAATAGTAACCATATAATTTACTGAAACTCACTAGTGTATAAGAATCCACCTTTTTCCAACAAAGTCAAATAGAATGGCAGATAATCCGAAGAAGGTTCCCTACTAACTCAGCCACTACCAAGATGACCTTGCTTCTACTTTCACAACTCTCAGACTTATCAAACTGCTTTAATGTGCTCAAAGGGTGGGGAGGGGTGTCAAGAATTGGAGAGAAAGGGGGATAGGGCTTCAAGCTTGCCTGGAAATAGTTTCTTTGCCAATGATACCTTTTTGATGAAGGGGTGAAAGGAAAATCAATACAGAAACTCATCCACACTCTCTCCCATCCTGGACAGATGTGGGAGTTGGATTGCCAAAAGCTACTCCAAGGTTTGTTCCTGGGTGTGGATTTCAGAGCTTGTAACTACATTTGTTCAGACAAGGTAATTCAAGTGTTATGCAACTCTGTGGATAAGGAACACTCCGTGTATTGCTGTTGGGAAGCTGGATATGAGACTTCTAGTCCCCAAATCAAAGTGCCTTCTCCAGGAGTTAGGTGTTCAGAGAATCCTGGCTTCATGAAGGACTCAGATCTATGGGGAATTGAGATGTCCAGTGTTCCAGATGTAATAAGCCTGGTAGATGAGCATTCCTGGTGACCTGACAAATCGATGATGAGAGTTTGGCTGGGCTGTGTTGTTCCCTAACATGTGTGGGTGGGAAAGTTTCTGCAGTTAGAGGGCAGGAACCTGAGCTGATTCATCTTTGCAGCCCCCTCATTGGGGCAGCAGCCAGCACCTTGCTCAACCTTTCATCACCACAATCACCTCTCCCCTCCCCCATCACACTTCAGCCTTCTGACTCTGGCTCCCATGATCTTGCCTCTTCAGCATCCTCATTTGCTTCCTCTTTGCCCTTCTCATGGACCAGCTATCCATCTAAGTTCTTATCTACATACTCTGTTGATGGGAATTTTTTTCAGCTGTGCCAAATTGGGGTACCCCAACGAAGTATCGAGTAACAATCTGAGCAGCATTATCTCACTTGCTGTGTCTGTCAGATAGAAATTATGAATCTCATGATTAGGCTCCATTAAACAAATAAAATAGACTCGTATCTTTTGAGTAATGACTTGGGAAAAATATTAAAATAATCTATGCTTTGTGGCTAGGAGTAGTTGCTAAATAATCTTACAATGTCAATGTCCTTTTCACTTCAGTCCTGATTAAATTATCACATGGGTTTATTTAGATAAGACTTTTTGGAGCACTTATAAGAATAACAATCGAGACCCAAAATGTTTTCTTTCTCACACCCCTGAAAGTGATAAAACCAGAAGAGAAAACTATAAAATCTCAATTTACTGATTTTGCTCTAGGAACAAGATGGCACATTTTTCTAGATCATCTATTATCACTATTAATATGTAAAGTCCTAGTTCTACTTTTTCCCTTGTGTGTGTGTGTGTGTGTGTGTGTGTGCGTGCACACACACACACACACTACAGGGGCTTGAACTTATGGCCTGGGTGTGCTTCTGTAGCTTTTCTTCCACTCAAGGCTGGCACTCTACCACTTGGGACACATTCCACTTCCCACTTTTTGCTGGTGAATTGAAGATAGGAATCTCGTGGACTTTTCTGCAAAGCAGGACTTCGAACTAATCCTCAAATCTCAGTCTCATGAGTAGCTGGGATTACAGGTATGAGCCACCAGAGCTTTGCCTTAGTCTTATCCATTAATCTTATTTTTAAAATAAAAGTTTGTTTTATCTTTATCCACTTAGCTCTAGAGAGAATGTCAGAAGCTATCACTAATTATTACTATTATTATTAATAATAATATTATTTTGCCAGTCCCAGGGCTTGAACTCAGAGCTTCGATGCTATCCCTGAACTTTCTTCCTTTCTTCCTTCCTTCCTTCCTTTCTCTTTCTTTCTTTCTTTCTTTCTTTCTTTCTTTCTTTCTTTCTTTCCTTCTTTTCTTGTCAGTCGTGGGGCCTGAACTCTGGGCCTGGGCGCTGTCCTTCTGCTCTTCAGCTCAAGGCCAGCATTCTACCACTTGAGCCACAGTGCCATTTTTTCTGCTTATGTGGTGCTGAGGAATCAAGCCCAGGGCCTCAGGCATGCAAGGCAAGCACTCTACCACTGAGCCACCTTCCTAGCCCCTATCCCTGAACTTTCTTTGCTCATGGCTAATGCTCTACCACTTGAGCCACAGCCTCACTTCTGAATTTTGGGGCGCTTAATTGGAGATAAAAGTCTCATGAACTCTCTTGCCAAGGCTAGTTTTGAACTGTGATCTTCATATCTCAGCCTCCTGAGTAGCAAGGATTACAGGCATGAGCCACCTGTGTTCACCAATCACATTCTATTGCATATATCTTCTCTATATTTTCTTTCTGGAGATTATATCCAGAAATTTTGAAGATATACTACATCTACATTGGGAAATGAAATTGTTGGCCTGTAAGCACTACCTTCCAACCTTGCTAACAACTACAGTAAGCTAACAGTGAGATGGGAGAGTGCTACAGTCCCAAGTTTACCTGTTGGCTAACTTGTTATGGCTTATCTGTAGCCAGTCTACTTCATTGTTTTTGCACAAGAAGGAATCATGCTCCCTTGTTACTTGAAGTGTGATCCATGGACCAATTCCATTTGTTATCTGAAAACTTGTTTGAAAGGGAAACTTTGTCCTTACCATAAACCTTAGGAATCAGAATACTTCTGTACAGGAGATATCAGGGGATTCATATGCACCTTTAATTTTGAGAAGCACTAGATTAGTGACTTACTCCTATAATTTTTTAAAATTAGGAGTGTGTGTGTGCCTGTGAGCCAGTAGTGGGGCTTGAACTTAGGGCCTTGTGCTCTTTTTCATTCAAGGCTGGCTGGCAATCTACTACTTCAGCCACACTTCTGGCTTTTTTGCCAGTTAACTGCTGATAAGAGTCGCTCAGATATGTCTGCCTACTCTGGCTTCAAAACAAGATTGTCAGATCTGAGCCTCCTAAGTGCTGGGATTAGAGATGTGAGCTGTTAGCAATTTTTATTAGTTTTTTTTTAAAATTAACAAGTTAAAAATAGTATGCATTTATGATTTACAGCATGTTATAATGTTTTAATTTATCTATTGTGGAATAGGTAACTCAAATCATTATTCTAAATCTATGGCTTCTAAATATTTGCTAAAAATTCTTATTCCTCACAACCCTGGGAAATAACAGGACAGCGATTAAGACTTGGCTCTGATTACTGACACTTTATATATTTGATTTATGATTTGGTTAAACTCCTTCCTTCTCAGAGCATCACACCAGAGGGCCATTATGGACTAAAGACAATGTAGCTTACTAAGACACACCTATCTCTATACCTAGTTTTTTACATTTGCAGTATAAGGAAATGTAAGTGAAAAGCCCCAGGCCTTAAGAGCAGAATCAGTTATCTGTTTTCACTGTAATTATGGGGAAATGTTAATCCAACGGGATTAACTGGAACTTGTAAACGTTTTTTATTTAAAATAAAGCAAAAGTCAGACCTTGCTGCAATGTCGTCAAGTTCTGGAAATTTCCAACTTGCTGTTCGGAACTCCTATCCAGGAGGGGACTTTTCTTCCGTTTTGGCTGGGGAATACTAAACAAACAATAAAGATAAATGTATTTGCTGAGCTAGACTTCTGCAAGGACACTTACTGGGACACCAAATTGGCTCGAAAAGCAGTGCCAGGAAGCAGTGCCACCTGCCGCCACAGAAACTCTGCTCACCCCAGTCTCGGCCGCCAGTCGACGAAACCAGCGGGGAGGCGGGGTTAGTTCCGTGTTGAGCGGCCAGGATTTTCCCAGTTCTAGTTTCCCGTCGGTCGCTAAAGACTGGTGGACCAATCCGGAGTGTACCATGATCTCAACCATGCCATCAAATTGAGACGTAGGAACAGCCACAGAAAAGTTGCCCAAATCATGTTTGCATTCCTTTGCTGTCACGCATTTGGAAAAGTCTAGATATACAAAAAAGCGTTCTGGCCCAAGCCGTTCCGTTTTCTCCCCCTGAACTTCGGGTCCGAACTACTTGGGCTTACCCAAACGTCACTTCCGGTAGCGAAGCAGTGAAAACCGGAAGCCGCACGCGCTGAGGGGAAGCAGCGAGCGCCGAGGCTGAGTTTGCTATGGGACGGCGGAGAGCGGCCGGTAGCGCGTCGCTGGGCCGGGCCCTTATCCGCCATCAGACCCAGCGGACCCGAAGCCACCGTCACTCTGACTCCTGGGTAAGAAAGACCATGTCATCTTCCCTATTCTGTCTGGTTTTGAGAGAGTTTGAGGTCAGAGGTCACACTGAAGCTGGGCGCTGGTGGTTCGCTGCTGTCATCTTAGCCTCTCAGGAGGCTGAGATCTGAAGGCCGCGGTTCAAAGCCAGCCCGGGCAGGAAAGTCCGTGGGACTTATTTCTAATTAACCATCAAAAAGCCGGGAGAGGAACTGTGGCTTAAGTGGTGGAACTCCAGACTTGAGCAATAAAGCTTACGGACAGTATTTAGGCCCCGAGTTCAATCCCCGGTCACCCCTGCGCGTACACACACACGCACACGCACGCACCACAGAGAAATTTTCCAGAAGTGATGCCCTAACAAGGATTTGAAGGAAATTCCTGCCAGGTTGGGAATCATGTCTTCCAAGTGAGAGTAGGGCACCGAGCAGAGAGGCTTGAAAGCAGAGCTCAATGGTGAGGAGGAAGCTGGGACGAGGATGTGAGTTATCTTGAAAGCCAGCATGTCTTGAATTCGTTTGATTTTTGCTTTAGAAGCCAGGGCAGTGCTTGGAAGGTTCTCAGCAGGAAAGAGACAAAACTTTCTTTACTATTGATTTGTTACTAAATTTGGTTCTCCGTAACCTGTTGATTGCCACCAGAAAATAATTCAAATTCCTGCTTCCTTTATTTTTCCTTCTAGTGCTTTAGCTAAGAGAAGGAGTCTTCATTTCTGTGGTGCAACAGACCATAATAGTTCTCTGGGCCTAAGAAAAATTATAATTGAACCCTTAAAAAGAGTGTAAAAACTGGGTACCAGCAGCTCATAATCCTGATTATAAACTGAAATCTGAGTTATCACAGTTCAAAACTAGCCTGGATAGGAAAGTTCATAAGACATATCTCCAGTAAACCAGCAAAAAGCCAGAAGTAGAGTTGTGGCT